CCTTACTGCCTTTAGCTGCTTTTACACTGAATTCCAAAGTCAAGGGAGGAAGGACACTGGGTGGGGGGGGAAGGGGGGGCACATTGACAGATGGACTCCTGCAAAACTACATGAACCCTGTGAAACTACATTTAAGGCTGCACTCCAAATATGGGGACCCAACAGACTGTTGGTCCTTTGGTTATATTTACTTCCCCAACCTATCCCCACAGTGAAACACTGCACTATGGTATTTTCTTTTGGTCTATGACCCAGCTTGTAGAAGGGAGACTTTCAAAATCATTCAAGTGATACAGGAACTTGCAGCATAATAACTGAACCCAAGTTCTAAGGGATCCAAGGGAATTGCCGACCACAGAGAGGGTGATCAAAATGAAGTACATGCCTAAATTCTACCCAAGTGCGAACCATCAATTCAACAAAACAAACACATACACACCCTTCACACACAAGCCAAGCCTGATGTCACCTGAATTCATAAAGTAGCTTCCTATTTCAGTCCAAGAGATTTTCAGGCAACTTGAGTGCTGCTTCTGTCCCACTGTGAATAGGTAGGCATTTTTTTCTTGCCTAAATCCAATTAGGATTCAGCTACTAGATTCCCTTGAGAGTCTTGTCCCATCAATGTGCTCTGAACACACCTTGCACATCAGCAAGGATCAGACCTTCAAAAAGTATAGTCACGGCTGCTTTATTTTTAAAACCAAGCCACGCATGTTAGTTTTACCTATCTTTTATTAAATAGCCTAGTGGTCACAGCACTTGCTCTGGAAATGGACAGCTCAAAATTCTGCTCAGCCTAAGGGGCTCAAGCCTATCTCATTCTTAGGAGCTGCCCAAGCAGCAGCTGGGAGGTGATGGTGGGCAGTGCAACCCTCCCAATCCCACCAGAAGCTGCATTACTGTGCTGCAGCAATGAATGTAAGACTCAAGGGCTGTGGGCAAGAGGGAGCCCAACTTTAACACAATACAGGCACCCACATTCTCTTTTGACTCCAGCCCATAAAGACTTTAAAAGTTAAGAGTATCAGTGGGATGGTAGCATCCAAATTGCCCAGGGAACTGGCTATACCACTATAGGACTGTGGGTTAGGGATGAGGACACCACAACAATCCTGTGAGCCTTGTCCTCAGTTCCAATCCCAGCAACTTCTAGGGCTACAGAAACATGGTCCTTCTTGCTTGGCCTCTCTGGCACCACTTTCCTTTCTGCAGTGGGGCAAACCTGGATGGGGAGAAAACAGAGTGGCACCCAATATGCAGCCTAGTGGTTAGAGGCCTCTTCAAGATGATGCGCATGTGAACCAGACCTCTAACTTCCTAGATGAGCGCTCCAGCACTAGGCTATTACCTAGCGAGATAGCAGCACCCCCTCTCCCTGTCATGTTTGCAGAGAAAAAAGTCATGGGTTTTGCTGGACAGACGTGCTCCTCCTCAGCAGAAGACTCCAGGCTCTGGATCTCACATTGAGACTGGTGCCTCCAGGTAAGCAGTCCCCGACTCAGGTACCCAAACCCCGCGTCCGTACATGGAAATGTCCCTACCTAGTGGCATTCAGCTGGCGGAGAGGCCCTTGCACAACACAGGCTGCTCCAGGGACAGCCCAACTCCGAGCTGCACCCAGATCCAGGCTGATGTGTTTATTCCCTGAATCAGAACAATGTTGCCAGCCCTGTGGCATTTAACCAGGCTTTTTATGAGGTTATTTACCGCAGTATCATTTCGGTCAGGGCTGGCCACCTGTGTGGCAGGGAGGTGCAATACCCATCTTCCGTTGCAAGTGCCCCTAGTGTGGGCAAAGCCTCCCGCCTGCAGCTCTGGCTCATGGGCTGGGCTCAGCAGCTCTGCGGGCCCCCGAGACAGGGGCCGCTGACCAGAGCCCCCATTCGCGCCTCTCCATGGGGTTGGCTTTGCTTGAGCTCCACCCGAAGCCACCTTCACATCTCAGCCGCCGAGACCGAGAGTCCCACGTGCCGCCGAAAGCAGCTCCCCGCCCCCGCGGGGCCACCGCGCCCGGGGCCTTCCCAGCCCCTCGCCCCGCACCAGGCGCAGCCCGAGCCCGCAGCCCGGACACGGATGGGGGTCCCGCCGCCGCACTCACCCTCGCACTCGCCGTCGCGCAGAGCGCGGCCCGCGG